GCACTGACTCTATGGCACCTAACAACAACAAATAGGTAAAATATGGTGTAATGGTGTAGTACTGTGTGATAATGAACTGGACCAAAAAATCAGTTTGTAACAGCAAGGTTGGTGATTAAAATTCATCAGCCGCTCTTCAGAAACCCTATGCAGGGTTAATAATAATGGTATTAACTGGTCTTCCTTGTAGCATATGGATATTGTCCTATCACAGACAGTGTTGTACTTCAAGACAGATCTTGAAATGTTCTTTTTGATGATGAATATGACACCATTCCTCTTCAATTTGTTATTCTTGCCATAGTAAACTATGTGATTGTCAGATTCAAAATGGCCAATACCTGTCCATTTCAGCTCAATAATATGGATATTTAAGTACTCGATTTCTTTATTGACAATTTCCAATTTTCCTAGATTCATAGTTCATACATTCCATGTTCTCATTATTAATGGATGTCCACAGCTCTTTCTCTTCATTTTGAGTTGTGCCTCATCAGCAAATTAAGGTCCCAAAGGCTTTATTCCATTAGGATCATCACAGTCAACTCTACTTTGAGGAGGCAGCTCTTCCCCAGTCGCATTTTGAGTGCCTTCCAACCTGAGGGGCTCATCTTCCGGCACTGTATCTGACAGTATTCTGGTGCTCTTTATCATATTTCCGTATTCTGTATTTGATGCTGACAGTATTCCACTACTATTCTTAAGATTTTCAGTGACTAAATATTCTGAAGTAGTCCATCGCTCCTTCTTCCTAGTCTGTCTTAATCTGGAAGCTTAACTGAAACCTGTCCACCATGGGGTGCATATCTTCCAGAATCAAACAACACTCAAGCCACCACAGTATGGCAAACTGACATACAGTAGGTAGAAAGAAAGAAAGAAAGAAAAAGTATAGATTGGAAAAAAAAAACAAAAAACAGTGGGCAGGGGTGGAAGGTCTGTTTTTTCAGCTGTCTTAGGCAGGTATCAACACAACTTCACCCACACAAATCACTCATGATTAAGTACTCACTGTGCAGCTATATAGCCCTTCTTAAGAGGATATAATGAAACCTGTACTGACTTATCATCCATACAGCTTTTTTTTCATTCTACCTTCTTTTTCATTCTACTGTCCTTAACAGTCCCTTAAGAAAGTGTGGGTTTTTTTGTATGTGTGTGTGTGAGTTTTGGAAGTATGATGGTTTATGTTCCTATTAGTAGCTGTTGTCTAAGAAAGAATAAGACACGATAGTAACAAATGTCACTCTGTAAGTTTAGGTTTTTGGTTTCTGTTCATCTCCAGAGGAACCCTGGTGGTGCTGTGGTTAGCAGTTCAAACTCACCCATCTATTTTAGTGTGGCAGTGACAACCTTGGAGAATCCTATGTGATAGTTTTGCCCTGTCCTATCGGATCACTGGGAGTCAGAATTGACTTTATAGCCACAGGTTTGGGTTTTGTTAAGCTTTTTTTAATTGGTCTCCATAATCAATTTCCCAACTAGAACATTAGTTAAATGGGGGTGGTTGTCAGATTTTCTAAGGTTACAAACAGTATGATGGCAGTTCTTACACTTTCTTGATTGTTGAGAATTTTAAGTCAATATTTTTGCTATTCTTTTCTTTTTAGCAAGTCTTTGTCCTTGTTTAACCGATGCATCCCTCAAACGCCTGAATGCTATTCCCTGTTTGCATCTGTTTGGATAAATGATGTTGACCCCCTGCACCGAATTCTAAGGGGAATAATGTCAGGAAGAGACATGCTCCTTGGCTTATGTGTCCTTGCACTAGGTAATTTTCACTTAAGTTTACTTCAGTAACTATGGAATGCCAAAGTGTGTAGCATTTATATGTGTGTTTCACATTAAAAAGTAACTTCTTCATATTTATTTTTCATATATATTTTCAATGTGTCAGGTTCAAGTTGGGATGGGGTGGGTGGGAACAGTACAAAAGGGTTAGCCGGCTATGTGCCAAGAGTTCTCAGTGGGTGGAGGTTGCCTTAATATGGTGACTGCAGCCCAGCTTCTGGTCCTCAGCTGGGCATAAAGGATGGATGTGTAAAGCAGATTGCCAATTGAAATGAAAAGTACAAATGTCAAGGGGACTAGAACTGTGTGTTTCTGGCCAGTGTGTTCTCTCCCTGTAGGTGAGCAAGAGAAGGGGCTGTGCGCATCTCATGTTCAGTAGCATCGGATGGTAATAGGCTAATGCTGCAACTCCTCTTCTGATGGCTACAAATCCCTAACGTTTTGATTGGCAGCCAAGAGCTCTACGATTGCACCCCAAGGTTCCTTACTGGCATCAGAAGAGGGCTGCTTTAACTCATGAAAATCTCATCAGAATCCTGTCCCTCTTTGTAGGAGAGGAAACTGGGCTAAGAGAGGTTAAGTGGCTCCCTGTAGAGCCAACATTACACATCTAGTAGGTGCTGAACTGAGATTCAAACCCAACACCTGTATACTCTTAACTTGTACACTAAAATATCCACATATGATTCTGGTTTCATGTGTAGGAAAAATAAAATAGATTTATAGACTCACTGGAAGATATAGAATAAATTCATAAACCTGAAAGTCCAAATACTAAAAAGTAATATACAGTACTTCACACATATGGCTTACTATAAAATTAGTCATAAAATTTTTCATTCTAAAGGCACTAATATTGCATGCTTAACACAAATATCTGAGAGTACTTACAATTAGAACTCTACATAAGCCCAGTATGAGGTTAAAAGAGTTAAGTATGGTTAAAAAAAAAAAAAAATGTAATGGTTCATTTAGAGTTATAAGGAAGAAAAGATTTCATCAAAGGAATGATGCATGCTCTCTCTTTTTATTTCAAGTGGGATGCTAGTACTTTTAGAAACTGGTTTACGGTAGCAGACTAAACTCATATATGCTTCAGAGAGGGCCCTTCGTATGTCTTGTTTCTGTTTGGAATTTGGTAGATGTCCCAAAGGACTTACAGACCGATAAACTCTTTGGCCCTTCTTCTGCTGGAAGGTTTATTCACCCTTTTTGTAGTTGTTGGGGTTTATATGTTTTGCTTACTTTTTCAGCCTTGTCCTTGGCCATGATGTTTACCTTCCGATTCATCTCCACCCTTCTGGTTCGCATTTTAATTTCACTGGTTACTTTGGGATTGCTCTGTAAGTATTTCTATTTGGTCAATTTATTCGTAATTTAATTAAAGAGTTTTGCCATGAAGGACAGAACTTTTGAAGTAAATGAAGTCCTTGAGAGCATGTGATCCAACTCCATTATTTTGTATATGACAGAACTCAATCCCAGAGGGGATAAAAGGAACTGCTATAGCTCACAGATAATAGCAAAATTAATGCCCAATCTATCATTTTTACCCCAGCACACCCCCTCCGGGACTCCTGGTGTGGCGCTGTAGGATCAGCACTGGACTTCGAACCACAAGGTCGGAAGTTCAGACCCACCAGCTGCTCCTCGGAAACTCTATGAAGTGTCACTATGAGTCGAATCTACTCGATGGTACTGAACAACAACACCTCCTCTGAGATGACCCTGGTACCCCTAACATGAAAGGAAATGCTGGTGCTTGAAGGAAGCATTCTAAAGGATTTCTTCTGAACTTGCCCTCAGACCACTGACATGTGGATACCTGTACTCATCATGCAGAGCCTCTGACCAGTCTGAGCAGACACAGGCTCTTCACTGGACCTCCACTGGACTGGTGTTGCCCTTGTACTGGATGCGGATCAATTCAGAGTGTGGCAGGAAAGGAGGTCTGAGTGGCAGGGGCCCTCAGGAGGCTCCAGGAAGTAACTATTTACCATCCAGTATGGGTGGTGTGAGCTCTGGTAGCGTAGTGGTCACAAATCGGGCTGCGAACTGCAAAGTTAGCAGTTTGAAACTACCAGCTGCTCCATGGGAGAAAGATGAGGCTTTCTGCTCCCGTAAAGATTTACAGTCTCGGAAACTCTCTTCAGGGTCACTATGGGTCGGAACCGACTCAATGGCACTTAACAACCACAACAACATGGGTGGCGTGGCACTGTGGGTTAATGCACCAGACTGCAAAGCCGTTTGAATGGCAAGGCTGGCAGTTCAAGCTCACCAGCTGCTCCTTGGAAACCCTATACAGGGTCGCTCTGGGTCAGAACCGACTCAATGGCACTTAACAACAACATGGGTGGCACACACAGATAAGCACTTGACTGCTAACCAAAAGACTGGTGATTCAGATCCTTTCAGAGGTGTTTGAGAAGAAAGCCCTGACAATCTGCTCCCAGAAGGTCCCAGTCTTGAAAACCCTGTGAAAAACCCTATGAAGCCCAGCTCTACTCTGGCATACACAGGCTCGCCATGCATTGGAATAGACTGGATAGAAACTGGTTCCGTTTTTTTCTGGAGTATTTAATTTAATGACTGGTATATGGACACTCTGGTGGTGCCGTGTTTAAAGCACGTGGCTGCTAACCAAAAAGTCAGCAGTTTGAACCCACCAGCTCCTCTGTGGGAGAAAGCTGTTGCAGTCTGCGTTCATAAAGATTATAGCCCTGGAAACACTATGGGGTGGATTTCTACTCGGCCATCATCAGTTCAGCAGCAGTGGATTTATTTTTTGGTTTTTGACTGTGGTGTTGCGTTCTCCTCAGTCATCAGCTCTGCTCTTTCAGAACTCAAAGCCCTGCAGTTCACTAGGCACACAACACTCCCTGATGTCAGAGGACAGATAGGAATGGCCTATGAGGGACACTTCTCCCCATGTGCAATTACTAAAGCCACCACTCATCTGTCAGTTTGTCATCCTGTGGTGGCTTGTGTGTTGCAGTGATTCTGGAAGTTATGTTACCGGTATTTTAAATACCAGCAGGGTCACCCATAGTGGACAGGTTTCAGATGAGCTTCCAAATAAAGACAGACAAGGAAGAAGGAGATATGAACTACTTCCAAATATTTAGTCCCTAAAAATCTTACGAATAGCAGTGCAACGCTATCAGATAGCACTCGAATATTGAATATTGAAACATGGTGAAGAGTACCAGAATACTGTCAAATACAGTGCCAGAAAATGAGCCCTTCAGGTTGGAAGACACTCAAAATACAACTGGGGAAGAAAGAGCTGCCTCCTCAAGATGGTGTTGACCATAATGAGGCGAGTGGAGTAAAGCTATTAGGACCTTTATTTGCTGATGGGAACAACTCAAAATAAGCTTCAAACATCCATAAATAATTGGAACACGGAATGTACAAAGTATGAATCTAGGGAAATTGGAAGTTGTCAAAAATGAAATGGAACAAATAAACATTGATCTCCTGGGTATTAATGAGCTGAAAAGGACTGCTATTGGGCATTTTGAATCTGACAACTACTTGGTTTACTATTTGCTCGGATCATCAAGGAAGCAGCAGTCAAGAAATCAAACGATGTATTATTGCATTAGGCATATCTGCTGCTTAAGACCTCTTTAAAGTATTCAAGAATAAAGAATGTCAGTTTGATCACTAAAGTATGCCTGCCTGACACAAGCTGTGGTATTTTCAGTAATTTCATATGCATGCAAAAGTTGTACCAAGGATAAAGAAGACCAAAGAAGAATCTGTGCATTTGATTTAGGGCATTGGAGGAGAATATTAAGAACACCATGGACCACCAAAAGAACAAACAAATGTGTATTGTAAGCAGTACAGCCAGAGTGCTCCTTAAAAGCCAGGATGGCCAGACTTCGTCTCTCAGCCTTCAGATGTATTGTCAAGAGGAACCCTGGAGAAGGACATCATGCTTGGTAAAGTGGAGGGTTAGCCAAAAAGTTACAGATTCCCAAAAAGATGGATTGGAACAGTGACAGCAGCAATGGGCTCAATCAAGCATAGCAAGGATTGTAAGGTTGGTGCAAGACCAGGCGGTGCTTCATTCTGTTATGCATAAGGTCTTTATAACTCGGTACTAACTCAGCGGCACCTAACAACAACAATTAGTAAAGACAACTGTGACCATCCTGTAGTTATTGTGGATGTGGTATAAAGTGGCATTTAGCACCTAAATAACATGAATTGACAGTACCATGGTGTCTTCAGAACAAATCTCTGACAGGTGACTTCCAGTTTTGTGGGTGGAGAAGTTGATATCCAGGCTCCCACAGGGAGTTGTCCCCCAGCAGAGCCAGAAAATTCTAGACTTTGGACTCTCATATTGTTCCTTTCACCATTCCTTTGGTGTAGTTTTCTCTCTGTTCATACCCAAGACCAAGGAAAGCACCTGTATTCTAAGATCACCTCCATGGCTCTCCCAGAGGGAAAAGCAGGAGCTACTGACTGGCATGGAGGCTGCACTGGCCCTGTTCAGCCCCTCCCTGAGTGTGTCTGTTGTTGTAAAGCCTCAAGAACTTGGACCCTACTACCTAAGCAGGGCTGCTGGGTTGGTGGCCAGCAGTGGCCAGACTGGCATGTGTGTCTGTGTGTATGTGTGTGTGTGTATGCTGTACCTGAGGAAAAGTGTAGACTACATGGAATATGATCTGATCACCATTGTTGACATTTTGTTTTCTAGTTGTCTGTGGTGTTTTATGGTGGCTGTACTACGACTACAACAATGACCTCAGTATAGAACTGGACACAGAAAGGGAGAATATGAAGTGTCTGCTGGCATTTGCTATTATAGCTACAGTTATCACGGTAAGAAACGCCCATCCAGCAGTAGACCAAGTGGGCAGCCAGAACTCTGACATCTAAATAATTGTGTTCTAGCCAAAGACAAGCATCCTGGTGCTGCGCTGTGGGCTAATGCGTCAGACTGCGTCAAAGTCATTTGAACTGCAAGGCCAGTGGTTCAAGCTCACCAGCAGCTCCTTGGAAACCCTCCACAGGGTTGCTATAGATCAGAACCAACTCGTCGGCACTTAACAACAACAAGCCAAAGACAATTAGAACTTGTTTTTCTCTCTCCTCAAAATGTGCCTATGTGGATCAGTCCCTTCTTTGGATTTGAGCATAGCAATGTATTGAGAGTTTTAAAAAAAAAAAAAATAAGAAAAAGCATCTTATTTCTTTTCAGGTCAATTTTTCCATCTCCCAAAAATGGATTTGCTCTTCTTGCATTTGTAGCATTTTCACGTGGCTGTGAGGTGGACACCTGCTGGGGGTGGGGTGAGGGAGTCAGAGTTTATAACATGGCCTGTTTCCTGTTTCTGAGGTGAAACATCTTCCTCCAACCAATCGATGCTCTGCTCTCAGGGTGGGGCAGCACCCCATGTGTTTGAACACACAGAGTCCTTTGTTTCCAAACCTGCTGGCCTCAGGTTATTTTAGTCTTCAGAGAACCAGCCACCTCCTCAGTGAACTCCCTAGTTGAAAGCAGATGAGATTCGAGTGTGGAGGCCGCAGATATAGGCCACTGAGCTGGATGCATGGCAACTAAAACTCATTCAAGTCACCCCTGGGTAATATTAGAAGTGCTAGAATCACAAGACCCTGGAGATGGTTGGGAATTGATCGCAGTCACCCTTGTTGGTGTATTTAATGGAAGAGCAACAGCCAGGGGTCTCCACAAACCTGTGAAACCTTTTAGCAAATGCAGATTCTCTAATTCTGTTTTATAAGGAAATCCATCACATTGTCTCCTTTCCACACTGAGGGTCCAAATTTGTGCTCTACACATTAACTGTTTCAGGGCACATGGCACAATAAAGTGTCTGATTCCACCAGTCCTACAGCTGAGCCAGTCTGGGAAGGAGGCTGGAGAAGGAGGGGCGCCCCCTGAAGCCCAGGCCTGGTAGTGAGGCTGTTGGGCTCAGGAGAGGAGAGAGGTGTGGAGCTGGGGAGAGAGCCTGATGCCTCCAGGAGTCTTCTAGGGACTTCCTTTGTCTTCACACACTGTACCATTAGGGGTACCCAGAGACCTAAGAGAGGGTGAGGGGAGAGTCTCCCTTTCACTGACTGTAAGGCTAGGGTACATGCTATTCATTTGGCACATGAGTAGCCACCACCTACTGAGTTCCTATCAAGTGTCAGTTAGTTGCTGAATGAGGTAGCCCAACCCTTATTCTCATAAGAGTCCTACATTGGCACTGTAGGGTAAGCACTAGACTGCTAACCACAAGGTTGGCAGTTCAAACCCACTAGCCACTCAGAAACAAGTCGTTATGAGTTCGAACCAACTTGACCACACTTAACAACAACAAAGTTAACAGAAAAACAGAAGCAGAAGGAGGGCAGGAGGGAGACTCTTGAAACCCTCATCCCTTCTTACTCACCTCTCTTCTCAACTTCTCCCCTCCCCATGTTGGAGCCAGCAGTGACCATGAGAGTCTCACTTAGTGACTTGACTCCCAAAGAGACCATCACCCAGACATCTTGGGTGGAGAGATATTCCTGGTCTTCTGAGTCCCCAACAGCTGCTTTACCAATACAATTGAGAACAGTGTTCTGGGAAGATGGGGGTCACCTGTAAATACTCTTTAAGAGGTTTAAATAGAACTACCAGCAGCAATGAAGAAACCAGGGTGAATGGCATTAAATGCTCACCTTGGCATCGGCACACAAGGCTAGCCTGAAATCCAGCTCCCTGAAGCGTAAGCCCAGAAGAATGACATCAGGACTTGGCTTCTAGGTCGAAAGTCAGCCCCATTGCCCACCCCAGCCCGGGCCCAATCCTCTAGTGAGAGTCCCCACTAGGAAATGCTGGTCTCTATTGAGACTGGGCAAAGTAAAGCTTGTTGTTGTGAAGTGCCGTCGAGTTAGTTCTGACCCTTAGCAACCCTGCATAGGATTTCCAAGGAGCAGCTGGTGAGCTTGAACCACTGACCTTGCAGTTCAAACCGATTTTGCAGTCCAGTGCATTTACCCACTAATCACTTCTAACCAACTGCCTGGCATTTATCTACCTATATATCCCACATGCAAGTTGTAAAATAGATATACATTTAGATATACACACATGTTAGCATTCTACTTGGGAGCTAGAATCCAAGTTTATTTACCTCAAATTATATTATTTTCCTTCATTACAATTTTAAATACAGGCCATCCTCGGGTTACGGAAATGATTGATTCAGCCCCTAATCTCAACAAATTCTTCACCACAGTCACCTCCACTTGCGGCCCAGGTGGCTTTTAAACCACTGAAAAGGCTTTGAGTCTTTTCTTATACTCAGCTTAAGAACCTATTCCAATTTACCTATAAACTCAACTTAAACACTTAGCCTTAAGACACACTTAAGACTGGACATGGACTGTGGACCACAACCTGGGTGACTCCACAGTGATTGCGCTAGGCATTCCACAGAGGTGGAAATGCCTCCTCTGAGTGTCTCCCGGGCCCACCCGGAGGCTCTGCCCCCTCTCTTGGAGCAGCTCCTGCGGTTTATCCCACTGCCCTGTGACTCTGTCTGTGTGATCTTTGAGGGAAGAAATACTCAAGCCCAGCTAGAATTGGCCAAAGGGTATCTTAAGTCAAAGGAAAAGGTGGCATGTGGAGTCACATGAGCAGAAGGTTGTTAAAAATCACAAAGTAGTAGGAAATGTCCCCAAATCTATATTTTAGCATGTATACATAAGCATTACCTGGAGATCTTGTTTAAAATGTAGATTCATTAATACAATATATCTAGGGTAGAGATGCAAATTCTCAGTATTTGGCAGAATCAGAATGAAATGATGAGAAATCCTGTCCTGATTTCTTTAATGTGAGAGGCACAGATTTGTGTGTGCACAGGGGAAAAGCTAGGAGAGAAGGCACGGGGTGGCTTTGAGGCAGAATCACTGTTCTTTTCTCTACTATTCATATTCTCTTGCCTTTTGCAGTGCCTCAGCATTGCCTGAGTATCTGGGTGCAGTTGTGTTAAGTGCTATTGAGTCTGTTCTGACTCACAGTGACCCTATATAGCGTTTCTGAGGAGTGGCTCATAGATTTGAACTGCCAACTTTGTGGGTAGAAGTCCAGTGCTTATCCTACAGTTCACACCAGGAGCTCTGACCCTAAAAGAGCTTATTTTCAATTTCTCTTGCTCTTCGACCAGACTGCAAGCTGTTGAGCGGCAGGGATTGCTCACTGTTTTATCAGCAGGATCTAGCAGAGGGACAGCATAAAGTAGGTATTCTGTGTTTGCATGAGGCCTCCATGGAATTTATCTGGTCTGTTATCACCCAAACCATGAGTCACTATCTTTTTTAAAAAAAAGGTATTTACTGAGATGTCAATAAAACACAGGCTGAGTTTCAAAAAGCTGTGGAATGAAAAGATAATGGAATTTTGTTTTTGAAGCCCCGTCATATTAGGGGTTGTTTTCAAAAGGAAAGCTCTGTTCAGTTGTCCATGGTTTTGAAAGAACTTACTCTGATATCCTTTTTTGACCAGGTCATTCTGCTTATCCAGATTGCTGTCTTCAGAGGGAGAATAAAATTGACAGTTGGCGTTTTCCAGGCCATAAATAAAGCCATCAATAGCTCCCCTTTCCTGCTGCTCCAACCACTGTGGACAGTTGCCATCCTCCTTTTCTTCTGGGTGCTCTGGATAGCTGTGTTGCTGAGCCTGGGCACTGCAGGTAAGGGAAGCGGGTGGGGGAACCTGTCACCTTGGGCTGTGCACGTGGGATGGCACCCTCACTCAGACCAGAAGACGTGTCTGATGACAACAGTGATGGGCTTAGGAGATTCTGTTCCCTCTTTTGTATAGCTTTAAAGCAACTGGGTTTGTGTTTCATGAGAGAATACACACAATAAGAACTGAAAGAGCTTTAAGGGAAACTACAGTCTGAGCAAAGACCTTTAGAAAGAATATTCTCACAAATCTCTGGGTTTGGGTTTGATCCAAAGTAATCCAGTCAGCCCCTCAGAGGGAGAAAAGTCCTGACTATCTGCCCCCATAAGGAGTATCTCCTAGGAAACCATCAGAGGCCGTTCTACCCTCTCATATGGGCTTGTTAGGAATCAGAATCGACTTGATGGCACACAGCAACAACAATAATGAAATCAGTAAGTGAGTAAAAGGAACCCAGGGAAAACTATTAAAAATTCTGTTGTGCTGAGGTGAGGCATCTTAAGTGTAAAGTCAATGCATACCAAAGTCCACATTACTATGGTCCTAACAAGCCAATGATCTATATTCCATCCTCTTGTTATATCCAAACAATGATTCACCACCAGGGGTATTTCTTTAGAATCACCTATGGTGCTTTTTCAAAATAGATGTTTGGACCCCATCCTCAGAGATTCCAATTCAGTTGGTTTGGAGTGACTTCAAGTAACTATATTTTTCAAAGCTTATAACAGATTTTGAATGATAGTCATATTCTAGAGCAATACTAATTAAAGAACTGCTACGTAACCTTAAACCAGATAGGAGCTTCCACCAGAATGTATAGTACTCGGTTGCTTCCTTCATCAAGAAAGTCTTGCTATGAAAAAAAAAAAAAAAAAAATCAGCGGAGCAAAGCAATATTCTTGGTGACAAAATTGAGACCTGTATTCTGGTGCAAGCTCCTTACCTCATTACATATCAGTCATAAAAAGTGGGATGGTGGCAGCTAGTCTGTGGACCAAACTGTGCAGCTCAGTGTTAAATCTTCTGTGACTCTTCTATTTGATTTGCTTACGGCCATATTTACATTCTGATATAAAGACAAAAGAGTAAATTGCCTTCTGAGACTGTTTCTAGGCAGATAAAAATCATAGCAAATGTCAAATCAACAAGATTAATGCAATTCCATAATATTTTCATCAAGTTATTTGTCCCTTCTTGGCTCTGGACATATATGTGAGAACAACTGCTATATGGTAAATCCTTAATCAACTTGGTTGGTTCCCTTCCCTCTCCTCTGAGTTAACTCACCCTATCAATGACTTCAAGATGACCAGTGGATTCCCTAGAAGTTGCAGCCCTTGGAAACCCACATCCCCAGAGATGCCTTAGGGACAGTCTCTTCTGCTGGGCATGAGGAGATGGGGGTGTATCTCTGGAATCTTCCTGGTGTACAGTGAACTTTCAGTAATTACCCAGGAAGGAATCTTGGTCCAATAGGATTGTAATCAATCAGAATGAGGAATGACAGAAAACTCAGAACAATAGTGACTGAGACAAAATATAACGTAAATTCTCACCCATATAAGTCAAGTCTGTAAGGAGATCCCATGCCAGAATATTCTTCCAGACATTGACCATGGAGCCTCATTTCTTGTCCCACTATCTTTACCATTTGTTTCCAAGTCGTTGCTGAAATAGCCACTTGGTCTTCAACTCCCATGTTTTATTCCTACTAATTGGAAGGCAACAGGGAGGAAGACAAGTCCCTTCCAGAAGTCATCAGCTGCACTTCTACGTACAGCACAATAGGCAGATCCTAGCTACATAGCAACACTTATCTGCAAGAGAAGTACGGAAGTTTAGTTTTATAATGGGCAGCCAAGTAGGCAGTTAAATATAGAAGCCTTATTATGAGGAACAGAGAGAAGAACAGCTATTGGTGGCCACGTGGAAGTCGCAGCTATAGCAACGTTGAACAGTCTCCCTCTAGCTAGCTACTTGACATCTCTGTTCTGGTCAAAAAGGAAGTCCTAAAGGTGCAACAAGAGACATAAAGGTGAAAATCTCCTAAATTCTAAGCTCTGTACTAGACTTTTCCTTATGTTCTCTCCATTAATCATCACAATTCCTGTGTGAGGTATTATTGTTATTTTCAAGTTACAAGCCAAAAAAGTAAAAGATTCTAAGTCATTTACTGAAGTTCATACCGCTAGCTTGTTCCATAGTCTATCTGGTCACAGAGTTCTAGAATAGAACCTCTGGGATACAAAGCTGGGAAATAAAAATTAGGACTCATCAGATTTGTCTGCTCAAGATGGAGCTGTTTTGGGGACCATAGCAGCTAGCTGTTGGTTACAGACTGTGACCATAATCTGGTGCATTCGGAAGCATGAGGGGCAAAGTGGCAGACCAGGGGCTCTCAGCAAGAGCAGGCTAGACATGAGCTGTATTATTAGGAGGGGGTGAGATGGCTCCGGAGGGATGACACTAAAGTACTTGAGTCCTTGCCCCTAAAGAATCAGCCATGAAGCAGACAAATAACTTTGTTTAGAGCACAGCCCACCCCACTGGCCCCTATTGGCTATGAGTCTGGATAAAGGGAATTGCTTCTGTGGTAAGAGCCACATTTTGGAGCAAAATACATTCATTGTTTCATTAATTCACAAATATTTAGCAGTCGTCTTAGAAGAAAGGCTTAGCAGTCTGCTTCTGTAAAGATGGTTACGGTTGTCAGGTGCCAATTCATAGTGACCCCGTGTCCAACAGAATGAAACACTAACCTGCCCTGAGCTGTCCTCACAATCATTACCACGTCTGTGACTCTGGCTGCAGTCCATACGTCAGTCCATCCAAGCATGATATTCTTCTCCAAGAACTAATAATGTGTCCAAAGTATGTGAGGAAAAAGTCTTTCTATCCACACTCCTAAGTTCTGACCATACTTCTTCCAACACAGATTTGTTTATTCTTCTGGCAGTCCATGGTATAGTTAATATTCTTCACAAATACCATCATTTGAAAGCATCTGTCCTTCCCTCTTCCTTATTCATTGTCCAGCTTTCACATGCATATGAGGTGACTGAAAATACCCTGGCTTTGGTCAGGTATTCTTTAGTCCTCAAAGTGACATTTTTGCTTTTGAACACTTTAAAAGAGGTCTTTTGCAATAGATTTGCCCAATGCAATACACTGTTTAACATCTTGACTATTCCTTCCATGTGAACATTGATTTTTAATCCAAATAAAATGAAGTACTTCACAAATTCAATCTTTCCTCCATTTATCATGTTGTTCCTTGTCATGTAGTTGTGAGGATTTTTGTTTTCTTTACATTGAGACGTAAGCCATACTGAAAACTGTGGTGTTTGATCTTCTTCAATAAGTGCTTCAATTCAGAGCAGTTCCTCAAGTAACGGATGGGGTCACATGAGTTGGACTCAGCTCAGTAGCAGCAGGTTTAGGCTTTTTTGGTGTGTGGGCACTAGTCACTGGGCAAGAAAATAGGGCAAAAGAGAGAAGAAGACAGAGATGGTTTCTCTTCAGAGCAGAGTCTAGCAGAACAGGTTGGCATTTAAATATGTAATCACAGCAAAAGTTGATAAATGTGATGATAGGAGAAATTTGGGGGGCTATGAGAGCCCCGCAACGAGGACTAATACAATGTGTAAGTCAGGGCAGGCTTCTCAGGATAGGCTGAGAATTGCCAGATCAGAAAATACAAAAAGAAGCAGAAAGGATTTCAGTGGAGTTGAGATAAAGCACAAGGAGAGGACCTAGTCACAGAGGACAAGGTAGTGCCCAGTCATGAGAGCAGAACAAACTACAAGGATGTTATACTCACTGGTGAGCGCCGAGTACTCTGTCCCTAAAATTCTCCTGCTTCGTCCCAGCTGACCCCAGAGCCTAGTGACGTAGCCCCAGCCTCCGGGTTTGAGAGTAGCAGGGACAGGTAGCCAAGTAGATTCTTCTCCCGAACTAAAAAGGTGGAAGGCATTGTATTACTGCCCTGCAGGGTCATGTTTGTGAAGTGGGACGTGATCAAACCGAGCAAGAGGTAAAGGAATAGAGTGAGAGGAATAGAAGGACAGGAAAGGACATGGTATCCAGGACCTCATGGAAAAATCTGTAAGCAAGTTGGTCCTACACTGATAGGGTCAAAGTTGCCACACAGAGTCACCAAGTCCTCTCCTTCCCCCATTGTTTTGGGCATCACAGATATCAGATGACCTGTCCCCTCAAGCTAGCTGACTGTCCTTGCCTTTCTCCTGTGGATGGACTTAGGTGCATCCAAAGGCCTTTTCACCCAGGGACAGAGACCAGAGAAGAAACACACCAGCTCAGGGCCGGCCAGGCAGCAGCAGGCATCGCTGGGTTTCTTGTTGTTTTAATCCTCAGAGATTCCCCAGCTATACTTGGAGAACCTGTGAGCTGCCCCTACCTCTGTGAAAAGGCATCAGGTGACTTATATAGAGGATGGGAGCCTGGCGCTGGAGGCAGCTTGTTAATTTAACATCCCCTCAGTCAGTTACAGTGGAGACAGACTCTTTTCTATCGACTAATTTTGATATGAATTTGATAAACGGAGAAAAGATTGAAGTTGTCGAAGACTTCATTTTGCTTGGATCTACTATCAACACTCATGGAGACAGTAATCAAGAAATCAAATGACCTGTTGCATTAGGCAAATCTGCTTCACAAGACTTGTTTATAAAGTGTTGAAGAGCAATGGTGTCAGTTTGAGGACTAAGATGCACCTGACCCAAGTCATGGTATTTTCAATAGCATCATAAACATGTGAAAGTTGGACAGTGAATAAGGAAGACCATAGAAGAATTAGTGCATTTGAGTTATGGTGTTGGAAGAGAATATTAAAAGTACCATGGACTGCTAGAAGAACAAACAAATCTGTGTTGGAAGAAGTACAGCCAGAATGCTCCTTATAATTTGGGATAGAGAGACTTCGTCTCTCATACTTTGGACATATTATCAGAAGGGACCAGCCCCTGGAAAGACACCATTGTA